CAAAGAACAATATTCATGGCTATATCACAACCCCAGAACAATGGGTGTTTAGCCACTCATGATGTAATCAAACAATTGCATAAGTTTTGAATAATTGAAAATATTAGAAAAGATCAAGAATTTTGAGATGTTCTTGCTCCTCGATATTTTTTGTGTGTATTTTTCCTCCAAAGTGCGTCTCTCCCTCCAAAAATAGGCTTAGTCTTCCATTCATTTGTGTTAGATAGGTCTAGGGTCGAATAAACCGTGTACCGGGAAAAATAGGATGAAATCCACATAAACAGTGCCCAGCCTGGTGCCAGACGCCCACCAGGGCGCTGCCCAATTTGTCAACACTGTTTTCAGCGCCACATGTGGCATTTTTCCCGGTTTTGTTCATTTTAGCTCAAATCTTGCGCATTTTGCCCCCAATTGCTCCCGAATCATTCCTACAAGTAAAAACACTTCAAATTAATATAAATCATAGCATTTAACATCCCAAATTCACGAAACAAAAGTAAAATATGAGGCGATATACATAGAAATATATATACTTTAAGCTAAACCTCAACACCTCACACTTAGACTCTTGCTCGTCCTCGAGCAACGGGACAATCTAATAAACCCCCAACTACGTACAACGTTCAATCATAGAGGAGAACATTAACTTTTAACCTCACACTATACCCTTGACTACGATCAATACTAGCACACAAGCATGCATACACAAAATTTCACATTCTTCCCTTTTAAGTATACCCAAGTATAATATTTCAATTCAATAAATTCCAACAACCTATTCATCACCACCCAACCTAAAAAGTAGACTTGAAACCACTAAGCACCCTCAATTCATGCACTTACCCAACAAGAAAGTTTACAACATCACCAATCATTCATGAGATCATGTGCCCCATCAACAAACAAAAGAGGGAATATAAATTGGTCCACACATTCAAATATGCTTTTGAATATAGATTAAGGACATCACACAATTGAACAAAGTTCGCTCACTCTCACAAAGAATTCATATGCATCCCGTGGTCATACCATAAGCTTGCCCGTAATGTATATCTCTACTAATTTAAGCTAGCCAAATCTAGGATCAATTAGGACTTTTAAGGTTGTAATGTAGGCTAAGGGACGGGTAAGATATATTTAGAAATAATGACTCACCCTCCTAAGCATTTTAATACACTACATTTACAATTCAAGCTCATATTCTTCTCAACCAGCTCACTTGCCACATACAACATAGCCCTCTTTTCAATTAAGCACTTCTCTATTTTTCACTAGCACAAATCAATAAGAATTGGAGGTGTTTATTTTTCTACATAATTTCACTATCATTTTTTCCTTTTCTTTAAATTTTTCTTTTTTTTCTTTCACACACTCCATACAATAAAGTCCATCGGCTAGTGACCTTTGATTTCAACTTTAGTGCACCAACGAGCCCTTCCATGGTTCCACTAAAAAGATACTCCCCAATTGTTAACCTTACTTATTTTAGCGACTAAGTGCCTTGGAGCTAAATGTTCAATCAATATCAAATTAAGAATAAAATGGGGGATGACTTGTAATGTGGGTGCCAAAAGAAAGGTCTATAGGCTCAAAGGGGCTAGCAACAAAATTTTTTATTTGTATGTGACAAGCACATCCATGATCAAGCAAGAAAATGCCTACGTCATCTCCTAGATTAGCCCAACTTACAATTTCGCTTCAATTAACATACGGGGCAAGTTCTATACTACACAGGATAGCACAGATAATCGCAAATCCTCACATACACATTACACATGACTCAATCAAGACGGTTCTATTCAACTCTTAAGTCAAGCAAGCATAATCAAATGAGAAATTTAAGCAACTTTGCACTACGTGGCACACGAGTCACACAACTGATAGAAGGCATTACAAAATAGGCTATTTGCTTTACTTAGGCTTCACATGTCAAACCAAATATAAGGGAAAACAGAATTTATGACATATCCCTAATGTGCCAGCATCAACCATGTCAACGAGTATCTCAGAACGACTCAGTTTCTTCCTAAACTACTCCTAAAAAAATTAAAGTGCCCGGTTCGAGCGACATCCCTGGAAATGAACCGGTGCCCAAAGAAAAACCAAGAAATACTACCTAGCTATTCTTAAAAAAAACAAAAATCTTTTTGGAGTTTTTGAATCGGACTTTTATCCCTCAAGAAAATTGTCCACGAGATCTATCGTCGGGAAAAGTCAGAGCTTTTTCAAATTTTTTTCTTTTGTATTTTTATGCTTTTTTTTTTCTTTTTTTTGATTGAAAGCAACTAATACTACACTAGACTGACTACACTAGAACTACTGGAAGAAACAAATTAAAACAAGTTGATACAAAATATACAACTACAACACACATAGTATTCCTCCACCCCACACTTAAACTATGCATAGCCCTCGATGCAAGTAAAAATGAAAAACAAAGTAGGTTGAAAAGAAAGACTCCCTGTCAGTCAGAGTCCACCTCCCCCAGCAGCTCTGGGGTCATCATTATCCGGTCCTAGAGGCACCAAAGTCATGGGCCCCGTAGCACCATTCCCATCCTCATCCTCAGTATCTGAGCCTTTGGAAGAGTTGCCGTCCTCCGAAGAGTGAATGGGGCTGCCAGGTGCAATCCCCAACATCTCCCTAGACGTGCTGGACAAGTCATCGCGCAAATGCATACACTCCTCGTCTGAAATACCTGCTCTGCTCATAAGTAAGTTCAACGAGTTATAAATGTACCTGTTGAAGTTTTTCTCTCGCTCCATCCGGGCCGTGGGGGTGAGTTTTGACGATGCCTCCACCACAAATGTGATGTCCATAAGCCCTGACGGAGCTTCAACCACCTCATCATGTCCGTGGTACTCCGGCACTCCTTGAAATAGCATATATTGAGTAAGTAAGTTCCCAAAAAGAACCACCTAATCTGTCGCCCAAATCTCGTACGGGCCATTTCACTAAGCATAATCGAAGCCAAATTAATGGGCCAACCAGTCATCAAGAAGAATATGACACACACTCTAGCTCGAGTGCAGTCGCTGCTGTGCTCCGCCGGCATGACTCTCGCTTGCACAAAATTCTGCCACACCTTGGCAGCTTTGTTGAAGTCGGAGTGCACCATAGAGAGGTGAATGTTGCCTTGCTTCCTTATCCATTTGGCATTTGAATCCACGCCACAAAGAGTGTGACATATCCACTTATACTTCGGGCATCTGATAAAGCGTTGGAGTCTCCTTGGGTCAGCATTCTCGACCCCCAAATAGTCACACAAAGACTCTCTATCCATCGACACATCCTTCTCCTCTTACACGTGAAGTGCTCCTTTGATAATCCCAGTTAGCATACAACTCTCGTATCACGCTCAGATTTGCAGGCCCTGGGCATTCCAAGAACTTGTGTATATTTAAAGATTGCAGCCTATTAAGTATCGTTGGGAAGTTTCTTTCTAAGGCCGTGGTATTGATCCCCATCTCAGAAATGTATCGACCAGATGGTACAAAGTCCCTGTGCCATAAAATAGCTGCAGCATCGACCAAATCCAAACGAGGCTTTGGTCTTAATGGCGCCTGTGGAGATCCCTTGACGACCTGCTTTCCTTTGGACTGCCATGAAGAGCTTTCTCCCTGCTTGCGTTTTTTGGGCGCAGGAGAAGTGGTGGAGGACTTTCCAATGCCTTTGCCTTTTCTAGAGCCATCATGAGCCATAGTATCCCGCAACACAATTAAACATGAATGTGAGAATGATTCAATAAATATGCCTAAGGTTGTCGTGCAAGTCATGAAATGACCCCACACTTACAACCGAAGGCACAATGTAGTGTTGCACCTTAAAGCTATGGGTACTCAAGACTTTCCCATGCCACGCAATAATGATTGATCATGGCTGCGCGAATTTACATTAAGGTAAGGAAGAGGCATATGGTATGCACCTTTCAAAACTACTAGATTATACTAAATTAGTCAAAAGCACAAGTTATACTAAATGGTGTAAGAACATGTTTTTCATCAAATCCACAACCCCTAGCATGTAAAAGCATCCCTACACAACCCACACGTATCCCAAATCATACACAAATACATCCGGTTACTCAGACTTCATCGGTGCACCAAAATCTTCATTCAAGTATTTTAACAAACACAATATGGGCATGAAGTGTGTTCTTCAAATTCAACAATGGTGGAACATTGGTGGGCCTCCCAATTTTCAATGAAGTAAAGGGAATTCTAGTTTACTACTCCGTATACACATTAAACACACAATTTTCGACCAAAACAAATCACCCACCATAAATATTTCATAAGAACTACATAGGGAAAAATATTGGGGATTAGGGCTCTTGGGAATGGAATCATGTTTATCTACTAGTTAAAACACAAAAAGAAATAGAAGAGAAGAAGAAGAACATATCTATAGACTGGAGAAGGAGATCAAGAGAGAAAGAAATTATTGGAGAAAATTTTCTCGAAGGAGAAGAGGGGAGTAGATAGAAGCAGTAGTGTGTTGCGTTCTTTGTGCTTCTTCAAGTTTGAATTTGGGTTGTTTGTGTTTGGGTGGGTTGGGGAAAGGATATGGGTATTAGTATTAGTGTAAATGGGTATTTAGTTGGGTTAAATGGGTAAGGGTTAAAAATACAACAAATAACGAAATTAAAAAAATATAAAAAGTACCAAAAACCCCCCAGCTTGGCGCCTCGCGCCCTGCCTGGCGGCGGGGTTTTGCTCGATACTGTTTCTAGCGCCCCAAGCAGTGCTGGGCGCTGGCCTCGGCGCTGTTCAAGAAGTTTTATTGTTTGTTTTGAGCACCCCGATCCCCCGATCTCTATATATACCCAATTTACACGTCCTACACCATTACATTTAAAATTTCTATACCTACAAAAAAAAATGCAATACTCTACCTACTCTAAAAGAAAAATTAAGAAGTTAAACTAGGAAAGTAATAAAAATTAGGTTGCCTCCCAACAAGCGCCTGATTTAACGTTACGACACGACGCGGAGTCTTGCTTACTCATCAACGAGTACAACCTTGATCTTCTCAAGATTAATCATTCCTCCCCAATAATTCTTGACTCTATGACCATTCACCAAGAATTTCCTCTCACCATTTAAAGCTCGTAGCTCGATTGCACCATAAGGAGTGACTCTCACCACCTCAAAAGGACCTGACCATCTCGATTTTAGCTTCCCAGGGAATAGCCGTAGCCTAGAATTGAATAATAATACCTATTGGCCTGGCTCGAAGTGACGCGGCTTGATATGCTTGTCATGCCACCTTTTTGTCTTTTCTTTATATAGCTTAGCATTTTCATAAGAGTGCAGCCTGGACTCATCTAACTCATTCAACTGCATAAGTCTTTTCTCGCCTGTGGCCTTAAGGTCCATGTTCAGCTTCTTAATGGCCCAATATGCCTTGTGTTCCAGTTCAACGGGCAAGTGACATGCCTTACCATAAACAAGCTTGTACGTGGATGCTCCAATTGGCATTTTATATGCGGTCCTATAAGCCCATAAGGCATCATCCAACTTTGCAGCCCAATCCTTCTTATTGAAACTCATCGTCTTCTCTAATATTTGCTTTATTTCTCTATTTGACACCTCAGCTTGCCCACTTGTTTGAGGATGATATGCGGTAGCAACTCTGTGGAGAACTCCATATTTAACTAGAAGGTTATTCAACAATCGATTGCAGAAATGAGTCCCTTAATCACTAATTAAGGCATGTGGAGTCCCAAATCTTGAGAATATGTTCTTTTTCACAAAAGCAGCTACCACCATGGCATCATTCTTTGGAAAAGCAATTGCCTCCACCCATTTTGACACGTAGTCAACTGCTAGGAAAATGTATTTGTTTCCTCTGGATGGTGGAAATGGCCCCATAAAATCTATCCCCCACACATCAAAAAGCTTAACTTCTAGGATGTTATTCAAAGGTATCTCATGCCTCCTTATGATTGTTCCCGTTCTCTAACATTGGTCACACTTCTTAACGAATGCGTAGACATCCTTGAATAAAGTCAGCCAAAAGAGACCGGATTGTAGTACCTTTGCAGCTGTTCTATCTCCTCCATGATGGCCCCCATAAGGCGATGCGCGACAATCATACAACACTAATTCCACCTCTTTTTCAGGAATGCATCTCCTCATCAACTGATCAGCACATTGCTTGTACAAATAGGGCTCATCCCAGTAGTAAAAGTTCACATCATGTAAAAACCTCTTTCTAGCTTCAGATTCAATTTTAGGAGGAAGTACCCACTCACAAGATAATTCACGTAGTCTGCGTACCATGGGGAGGGTCTTGGGTGATAGCAAAAAGTTGCTCATCTGGAAAGACTTCTTTAATTTAGCCACCCTCTTCTACGTGATCGTGATTTTACAGCCTTGATAGATGATCAGCTACTTGGTTCTCTGTCCCCTTTTGATCTTGTATTTCTACATCAAATTCCTGCAGCAACAAAACCCAATGCATCAATCTAGCCTTAGATTCCTTTTTTGTAAATAAATACCTAATTGCTGCATGATCGGTATGGACTATGACTTTCGTTCCCTCCAAGTATGCCCAAAATTTCTCAAAGGCCCACACAATAGCTAACAACTCCTTCTCAGTGGTGGTGTAATTCAGTTGTGCATCATCAAGAGTCTTACTCGCATAGTAGATAGAATAAAACACTTTGTCCCTCCTCTGGCCTAGCACTACCTCAATAGCAAGGTCACTCGCATCACACATAAGTTCAAATGGTAAGGACCCATCAGGTGCCACAATAATGGGAGCAGTCACCAACTTCTTTTTGAGTTCTTCAAATGCCTTGAGGCAAGCATCATCAAAGTTGAAAGTTACATTTTTTTCAAGCAGCCTGCACAAAGGAGTAGCAATTTTCGAAAAATCTTTAATAAAGCGCCGATAGAAACCCGCGTGTCCTAAGAAACTCCGGACACCCTTCACTGAAATTAGTGGAGGTAATTGTTTAATCGCCTCCACCTTCGCCTTATCAACTTCAATGTCGCTCCTAGATACTCTGTGACCCAACATGATGCCTTCTTGTACAATAAAATGGCACTTTTCCTAATTTAGTACTAGATTTGTTTCTTCACAACGGGCCAGCACCTTGCTGAAATTCCTCAAGCAATCATCATAAGAAGACCCAAAAACTAAAAAAATCATCCATAAACACTTCCCCAAATTTTTCTACCATGTCGGTGAAAATGGCCATCATGCACCTCTGGAAAGTGGCTGGTGCATTACAAAGACCAAACGACATTTGGTTGAAGGCAAAAGTACCATAAGTACAAGTAAAAGTGGTCTTCTCCTTATCCTCTGGGCATATGACAATCTGATTGTATCCCGAATAACCATCAAGGAAGCAATAATATTCATGTCCGGCTAAGCTGTCTAGCATTTGGTCGATGAATGGAAGTGGGAAGTGGTCCTTGCGAGTTGCTTTGTTGAGCCTTCTATAATCAATGCAGACTCTCCACCCCGTAATAGTGCGAGAAGGAATTAGCTCATTCTTCTAGTTTTTAACTACCATTCCTCCCTTTTTAGGCACACATTGAACTGGGCTTACCCAGTTGCTGTCAGAAATAAGAAAAATGATACCTGCATCGAGCAACTTGATTACTTCCTTTTTTACCACCTCTTTCATAATGGGATTTAATCTTCTTTGCTGCTCCACACTAGGGCGGTGTCCGTCCTCTAAAAAGATTTTATGCATGCAAAATAATGGACTAATACCCTTGACGTCAGCTATAGTCCACCCAATGGCCTTTCTGTGCTCGCAGAGTACTCTGAGCAATTTTTCTTCTTGAGTGTTGGTCAAGCTGGATGAAATAATCACGAGAAATATCTCAGAGTTCCCCAAATAGGCATAGCGCAGATGCGCTGGAAGTGGCTTAAGTTCTAGCTTCGAAGCTTCTTCAATAGATGGCCTGGGAAGGGTTAGAGTGACAGGCCTGTCCAACTCTTCAAATTTTCTAAACCCCTGGACATAACTGCAAGACATATCCAGTACTTGCTCAATTTCTCCCATCATTTCATCTTTACTATTTTCTACATCCCCAATCAATACTCGTTCAACAGGTCTACAGGGCTCATATAGGGCACTAACAATGTGGTATCACTCTCCACCACAGAGATCATGGATAGCTCTTCATAGTAGGGCCGGTAACTTGAGTGCTCTATAAACATTGAAGACCTCCACTCAATCACTCACACTCATTGTCATCCCTCTTTCACAGACATCGATAATAGCTCGACCTGTGGCTAAGAATGGATGCCCCAAAATAAATGGGACTTCCTGATCAGGCTCGTAATCCAAGATAATGAAATCAACAAGGAATATGAAAGAACCCACTTGAACTAGCACATCTTCAATCACTCCCTCAGGATGAGCAAGGGAGCGATCAACTAACTGTAAGATAACTGTTGTTGGGCGTGGCTCACCCAACCCCAACTGTCTAAACACAAATAGCGGCATCAAATTGATGCTCGCTCCAATCTCACATAAAGCTCGCCCAACGGCATGTTTACCAATCGAGATTTGTATAGTGAATCTACCTGGATCTTTCAATTTCTGAGGTAACTTGCCCTGAATTTTTGAACTACACTCCTCAGTGAGTGCCGCAGTCTCGAACTTGGTTAGCCTCCTTTTATTTGCCATAATGTCCTTGATGTACTTTGCATATTTGGGTACTTCTTGTAAGATGTCAACCAATGGAATATTAATTTGCACCTACTTCAAGATATCAATAAACTTTTTATATGCGGCATTATCTCTTAATTTCTGCAATCTTTGAGGGAATGGGGGTGGTGGCCTTGCAACTAATTGTGGGGGTTGCTTAGCCACTGCCTCTCCAGCTAGCTTTTCTGGCTCCTTAGCTTTTTCTCATGTTGATTCAATAGTGTTTGGCCTCTCAATAAAAGTAACTTGTTTCCTCTTTTTAGACTAAACTTCTTCTAGTTGTCTCCCATTACTCAACGACACGACATTAATAGCCGCCCTAGGATTCGCTTCAGTGTCACTTGAAAAAGCTCCAACTGTTCTAGTATTTTGAGCACTAGCAAGCTGTCCCATTTGACGCTCCAAATTTCTCATTATTGTGGCGAGGGCTTGTTGTTCAGCCATCACTTTTTTCAACATGTCTTCAAAGTGACTTGTAGGACTTGCTTGTTATTCAACCTGAGGTGGTCTATATTGATGTTGAGGTGCTTGAGGCCTGTATTGATTCTGAGTACCTTAGTTTCCAGCCTAAGAGAAGTTTGGGTGATTTCTCCAGTTGGGATTGTAAGTGTTTCCATATTGGTTTGTTTGGCCCCTATTTGAATTACCCACAAAATAGATAGACTCTGGGTTAGCGGGGCATATGTCGCTCGTGTGCCCCTCTCCACATATTTCACAAAAAGCTTGAACATGTTGTACCGGTTGTATTTGTTACTTGTTGATACTCAAGGTCATCTGATTGACTTGGTTGGTCAGTATAGAAATCTGTGCTGATAATGCTGAGACGACATCTAACTCAAGAACCCCTGCAGACTTTTGCACTGTGTGTTTGCCCATCCTTCCTTGCCAATCCGGATTGCTCTTGGAGAATTTGTTCAATAATGCATATATATCGTCAAAGCTTTTCTCCAACACTTGACCCCCAGCTGTAGCATCTACCACAATATTTATTTCAGAATGTAGCCCTTCTATGAAAGTGTGAGATAATACTTCATTCATCTGATTGTGATGAGGACAATCTCTTAGTAGCCCCTTGAACCTTTCCCAAGCTGAGTATAAAGATTCTCCCGCTTTCTGTTTGAAGGCAACTATCTCACTTCTAATCTTTGCAGTTTTTTCTGAAGGGAAGAACCTTGCCAGAAATTTTCTCGCCAAATCATTCCATGATGTAATGGAAGCTGGTTCTTCCTTTAGCCATCGCTTAACTTCGCCCAACAGAGAGAATGGAAAAAGTGTGATCCTCACATAATTTGGAGCGACCCCGTTAATGATATAAGTATCACAAATCTCCAAGAAGTTCAGAATATGCTGTTGTGGATCCTCATTTGGAAGACCCATAAACTGCCCGTTTGCATGAAGTAGCTGGATCATGCTCTATTTCAGCTCAAAGTGCCCAGTGATCCTGGGCTTCACTATACTGGAGGTGACATTAGCAATGCTGGGCATCGCCACCTCCTGAATAGCCATGTGTTTCTCCTCTGCCATGTCCACAAGAAATTGAACAAGTGCCTGAATATTATTCATGTCCCTTGCTTCCCTCAACTTCCTGTGAAATGTTCTCTCCGGTCAGGATCGAAGCCTTGAAGTCGGTCCTGGCTTTTGACCCTACACATTCAATTTAAGTTCCTGAGATCCGAGCAACAATCAAGTAACGTTAGACTCGATGAAATAAACAATTAAAGAAAAAACTAGCAAGTAGTTAATATTCAAGTCCCCGACAACGACACCAAAAAACTTGTTGCTACCAAACGCACACGCAAATATACGTGATCAACAAGTAATATAATGATAAGTTGAGTGTCGAACCCACAGAGACTTGTATAAACTACTCACTAAATCACTGAAATTGTTATTCAGTACAACTGAAATCAAGGTCCAATAATATGATTATACTATACTACGATTCTAAATAATAAGGAAATTATCAAGTAATGAATTGATTGTTGTGTATTTAGTAGAGACAAGTATTCCAGGGTAGTGATCGATTCACCATTTGTGTTGTGTTCTAATTAACTTTCCCTTTCGCATAATTCACTCATGGTTGTTAATTAATCGATAAATGATTTCATAGCCTTCTCCCGAAGTACTACTCACCTATTCTCAATAGATTAACGCCTATATTCCTATGAAATCAATCTATTAAGAATGCATTAAGTTCACGATATTTAATTAAGCACGGTGATTAGGTATATTCCTATCATAACCACAAATTCGCTCCCCCTTTGGGTTAAGATCGTGCTCTCTTCAATTCTTCTCTAATCTAAACACGGCTTTCCCAAGCATAGCATAGATAGTAAATAGAACATAACTGCTGGCCAGCCAATCAATCAATTAAACACAGAATTAAAAAAACAATAATATATTGGTGAATTATAATTAAGGTTAAGCTAATATCAAATAACAATATTCATGGCTAAATCACAATCCCAGAACAATGGGTTTTTAGCCACTCATGATGTAATCAAACAATTGCATAAGTTTTGAATAATTGAAAATACTACAAAAGATGAAGAATTCTGAGATGTTCTTGCTCCTCGATGTTTCTTGTGTGTATTTTTCCTCCAAAGTGCGTCTCTCCCTCCAAAAATAGGCTTACTCTTCCTTTTATACATGTTGGATAGGTCTAGGACCGAATAAACCGTGTTCCTGGCAAAATAGGATGAAATCCACGTCAACAGCGCCCATCCCGGTGCTAGTCTCCCACCAGGGCGCTACCCAATTTGTCAACACAGTTTTCAGCACCACATGTGGCGCCAGGCGTTGCCTGTGGTGCCTAAATGGCATTTTTCCCGGTTTTGTTTGTTTTAGCTCAAATCTTGCGCGTTTCTCCCCCAATTACTCCCGAATCATTCGTACAAGTAAAAACACTTCAAATTAATATAAATTATAGCATTTAACATCCAAAATTCACGAAACAAAAGTAAAATATGAGGTGATATACATAGAAATATATATACTTTCAGCTAAAAATCAATCAACAAAATACAAATAAGGCAAGGGAAAATTAATTAAGGCAAGCAATTGAATCAAATCGAGTACAGGGATAAGAATCGAAAGTTTAAGGGAAAGTGTTCAAATCAAACCACGAAATAAGGAATTCAGAATAATCAAGGATTCAACCAAAGGGAAAGTCATGAAAGAGTCAGCAAGTTTAGCATATAAAATAAGGCAAGACATGAATTGTCAGGATTCGATACATAACTTTAACAAAACAAATAGTTAAAACGACACTGGACAAGGAGAAAGATATAGGTCTTAACATGAATAATCAGGATGAACACAAGCATATAGAATCAGTGAAGGGTTGAACTAAGAAATTCAGTAGAAGCATATTAGGACAAGAAAATCACGAGAAATTACAAGAACCCAAAGCAAGAACACATTCGAATATACCACTACTTAGAAACCAAATGAACAACATAAAAAAATAAAATAAAATTAGGGTTTTCAGTACAAGCGAGTTAAGGTTTTAACCAACTTACAAAACCAGTCAAAACATACGAGGAGTAGAAGATCAAATAATAAAAAATTCATCAAACATTTTGTAAAAGAAATCCCGGAAACCCTAGTTTAGAAAAAGATGCAAATCAATTGAAAATCATGCGATTCTTGTAAAGAATCTCAAGGTTGTTGTAAAACTCATATGAAGCGAGTCCAAATCCCATCATATCTAAGAGGTTCAGAAAAAAAAATTAGGGTTTCAAAGAGAACCATACAGAGGTGAAGAAACATGTTTAGAAACCCATACATCATAGTTAATATAGGATGATCTTACTCAGAATCAAACTGGAATGGCTTGAAACAGGCGAGAAAAGGACCATAGATGCAAGCCAACAAGCCTTGGTCCCTTGAGGACCCTGGAGACGGAAAGAATAACATGAAGAGGCTATTGGAGGCTTGGGAGGTGGTGAGAAACCACCGTAGATAGCCATAGGTGAGTGTTAGTAAGGTTTGATTAGGGTTAGGTTTGAGAGCGTTTGAGAGAGGAGAGGGGTATCAGGGTGGCCGATGGTGTAGAATGATGGGGTTTGGGGGGGGGGTCTTTTGGTTTATTTTAGGAAGGGTCGTTTGTGGCCGTTGATCTTTATGACCAACGACCGAGATTAAAGGGTTATGGGGGCCGAATCGGGTATCTGGGTTTGGGTTGGGTAATTTTTATTTGGATTGGGCCGGTAATTGGATTGAATTAGGGCCGAAAATTGAAATAAAAATAGGCTAGATTTTAAATAACCATTTTTAATAACTATATAATTTATAAAAATAATAAATTATTTCAAAAATAAATGTTTTTGTGTACTAGAATGATTTAA